CTTGTCCCATTAGCCGGCCTGGAGAATGTGTGAATCAGGCTGTGGTCACAGTGATGGTCTTCTCACACCCGGTGACCTTTCCTTCCTGGCCTGGTCTGTTCGTTTCTTCAGCAGCATTAGGGGAAAGGCAGGGCCAGGAGGGGAAGAAACTTATTGAGCAGCTGCATGGTGCCAGGCACAATGACAGGCAAACCCATACTTACTCCCGAAATCCACCTGCTCAGAAGCAGCTATTATAATCCTACTTTTTTGCAGAAGCACAGCCTGAAGCTCAGAGAGAGTCAGAGACCACCCCTTGCCACACAACCCCCTGTTCCCTGGGAATCAGAGGCTCCTCCCAGTCCTGCCAGAGCTGCTCCCTGGCAAGGATGGGCCTCTCCAGTCTGAGAAGTAGCTCCACCCCAGCCCCTTCTGGGGAAAAGGCAGTATGGAGGAGGGGGGGTGTCTGTAGTTAGAGCCCCTGGATCAGGGTCCTTACCTGTCACTCACCCTCCTCCATGCCAAGCCCCAGCACAGGGCCTGGCTCCACGCAGCAGATGTTCTGACACCTTTGGTGACTGAGTACATGAAGGAAAAAAGGAAGAATGTCCCAGCCCCACTTAGCCACTACCGGTTGCAGCCCCAGGCGCTAATGGGCCCTCACCTAGAAGCACCTGGACTTCAAAGGCTCTGGAGGAGGTGAGGGACCGCTAATGGAATTGCAGGCAGAGAACAGTTGGGAGGCAACGGAACAGGTGGCCTTCCTGGTACCCCTCACCCACACGCCAGCCCTGGCAGCAGCCCCAGACGACTCAGCCTCCTAGGCAGGCTCTGTTGGCCCAACGTGCGCCGCCACTCCTTCTCGTTGTCCCAGACGTTCGTATTCAGCGGGCAAGGACCAGCCTTGGCCCGGGCGGCCCGGGCCACCGCCCCAGCCCAGGGCAAGGCCACCAGGACAGACGCACATGCGCCGAGCAGCCGCAGGCCCTGCTGCTGCCTCCGGCGCCCTCAGCCGCCTGCGTCCGGAACGCGGGAGAAAAGCAAACAAAGACGTATTGGTTTCTGCTCTATTAGAGGCGCAGGAGGGGGGAAATCAATGTTTAGTAAATGGGAAAAGAGAAAATCGTTCAGGAAAGACAGTCTATTTCCAAGCCGGAGAGGGGTTCGTAAACAGCACAGGCCATTGCGGAGGAAGCATCGCGGGCCATAAACTTCCGAGAGGAGGAGAGAGGAGGCGTGCTCCCCGAGCGCGCCCAGCGCGGGCGCTCATGGGGGCCCGCGCCCTGACAGCCGGTCACGCGCTTCCCAGATTCAGGGTTCCGAAAGGTTCAGGGTTCTTTTAACGCCACGCCCAGGCACCTAGAGTTGGCTATGCTGCTCCCCCTTAATCCCTTCCGTAGATCCCCATTGCCTGGCTTGCACCTGAGCCTCCTCCCTGGCCCGTGGGGGCCTGCGTGGTGGGGCCAGGCAGATCCTCTAGCCTCTCTTGGATGTCCCTTCTCATGGCTCCAGCCATCTTACTGCCTGGGAGTTGGCTGTGCCCTAGAGGGTCAGGGCTGGCCTCCTGGAGGAAGGGAGTTTGAACTAGCCTTGACTCCCTGGAGGCGTTCCCCAGGTTAAGAAGGGAAGGTGTGGTGAGCTGGGGCGGAGAAGAGTTTATGCAAAGGCCAGAGGTACTTGGGAAGTGCCACAGGCTCTAAGGGGAACTTTGTTTCAGACGGGGTGGTTGAGGAAGAAGGAGAGGCTGGGATGGAGGAGTGGAATTGAAGTGGGGGCTGGCACCCTGGTCCGGCTGCACTGGTCCCAAAAGACCCAGAAAAAGAATAGCGTCAGAAAGGAACTGTTAGAAGCCTGGGAGGCTACAGATGAACCGCTGAAGACAGAGTAACTCTTGCTCTGGCCCCCTGGGCTACTGGACTGTTAGAACCCACCTCTCTGGGTGTCCGGGACACTGCCTCGCCTCCCCTCCCCCTTCCCCCCTCCCCCGTGGCTGGCATTCCATTGTTCCAGAGAGTGGGCACATGGGACAGAGCCTCTGTCCTCTCCATTCATCAAGGCCCGGCTGGCCGCTCCGGGAAGTATTGAATTTTAGCCTGAGATGGATGGCATGACTAGAGTCTCCTTTACAAATGAATTATGTTCTGTTTATCGTCTGTGCGTGAGTGCGTGTGCACACCCGTGCGAGTGTGGATGCGAGGGGCATGCTCCCACGGATAGGTACTCGTGTGTAGGAGTCTGTGTGTGGAGAGGAAGGGGTAGCTGGGGTGCAGGCAACTCTTTCAAGAAGTTCAGTGGAGAAGAAAAGATCTTCAAGGGTGAGGCCGGGTCAGGGATACCGAGAAGGGCAGTAGCTTCATTATGGTCGTTGCTGTTACTATTATATGGGTTCGGGACCCTGTTCCCTGCAGGAAGTCCCTTCCAGGTGAGTCTTTCAGCCTCTCAAGAACATGTGAGGTTGTGAAATCAGCTGTTATCATCCCCATTTGCTGAGGAAATGAAGACTCAGAGAGGGGAAGGGATCAGCCTAAAGTCACAGAGCGGGATCCTGGAGCTGGGACTCCAGGGCATCCCTGGGGCCTGAGATGACTTTTCTGAGCGAGACCTTGAGATAGAGAAGGGAGAAGGGGTTGAGGGACATGGGGGGCTGGAGCACTCCAGGTCAGAGCACTGAGCTCTTGATTGCTCTGGGCAGGAAAAAAGGCTGGAGAGAGGATGTGCTCAGGTGGATGGCCCAGAACAGAGGCCTGTCTTTGAAGCAGTCGGGGAAATCAGCTGGTCCCCTAACACCTCCCCGGAACTTTGCAGCCCCACCTCCCACCCAGGATACCCACTTCCATTTCACCCCTCCGGGCCCCTGCTTTCCCATCTGTACAACGGGGGTGTGGACTGGGTTAGGGGAGTGGAGAACTCTGACCTTCTGGAGCTCTGTGGCAGACATAAGCACAATTACATGGGCACACGTTTTTGTGGGGGGAGCATGTGCATGCTCAAAGGGAAGCACATGTGCAAAATGAGGTCTAAAGGAATATAGACATGTGCTTCTATGGGTCCCACCCATGGTGGGGGCAACATGTTTACACAGGGGAGGGAGCCTCCCGAGGGTCTACTAGGTCAGCTCAGTTTGGGGCGAGAGGGGGAGTGAGCGGCAAATTGGGGTAGGCCAGGCCTGTGCCTGGGTCCAGGGGTGGGGATCAGGATAGGGCCTGGGGGCAGGAAGAGCAGGCAGAGGAGGCTCTTGGATCATAGGACTTGAATTTCCAGCCAACATAGCCCATTGTCATCCCTGCACCCACTCTGGCCCCACCGCTCCGGGCAGGCACAAAGAAAACAATTTTGCTCCAGCTAAGGACAAGCAGGAGATAGAGACTATGATAAGGGAGCTTCAAGGTGAAATCAGCCAGCCTGGCCCTTGGGCTGGGCAGGGGAGGGGTTCAGAGCAGGGCTGAGGTTCAAAGGAGGGGACTTGAAGGGTCTCTGGGGTGAGGGAGCCTGAGGAAGGAGGGATGAGGGGAAAGGCTGCCCTGAGGGCTGAGCTACAGAGAGGGGAAGACAGGCTCAAGGACACCAGAGGATGGACATGCAGAGGAGGAGGCACTGAGGAGGGGCCTTTTAGGCCCAGTCCTTGTGGGGCCCTTGAGGAGACACCCACCCCGAACACTCCCTGAGTCCTGGGGTTGATCCAGTGTAGGTATCCAGGGCACCTGAACCCAAGTGGCAAGAAGGGGTCTGGACCAAGCTTTGGCCTTGAGTGCCAATGGAGAATTAAACTTGACCAGTCTCAAGGCTACTGAGCAGGAAGGTGAGTAGGGGAGTTCCTGGCCCAAAGGCTGCTCCCCTCCCCACTTCAGGCAGGCATCCTGCATCCTAGATGCCTGGTGTCAGATGGGCACCTGCACTGAAGGAAGTGATGCCAGGCAGGGCCCAGGCCACAGCACACCTGGGTCCTCTTGCTAATGGGGGAACAGGTGCTAGAGTGTAGGCCATGCCAGGGCCCATCCAGCCGACCTGCTCCATCGTCCCACCTGCCACACTTTGAGGTCAAATAGAACTGGGCAGTAGGCTTGGGAAGTGGAAGCAGCTAGATGAGTGAGGCTAAGGACAGGTGAGGAAGAAAGGAGAGGTTCAGGCAGGTGCCCTGGCGATAAGGTGTCTCACCCCCGGGAACCCCTCCTCCATCTTCTGGCAGGAGCCAGCTTAGGCTTTGTCCAGCTGTCCAGCACTTGTGGTGGCAAGTTCATCTGTCTTTTATGGAAAACACTCTATAGATGCCCCTGCTGCAGCCCACTGCATAACAGCAAAAGGAGTCCGGCAAGAAGTCTTGCTAGAACCTTCTCATTCCGTAGCTGTGGCGAGCGAGCGAAGGACCCAGAGGCTCTTCCTGGCAGTGGAATTCCCTTCAGTGCATTTCACTCATTGAAGAAACAAATGGGTCCCCCAACCTGAAGCGCATGATCCTCTAGAAAAATAGCTGCGGCTTCAGAATTGTCATGGTCTCTTCGAGGGAGGCCCTGGAGGCTCAGGCAATCTGTGGGGTGGGAGGGGGCACTTTCTGCCCCTCCAGTCCTTATGAGCTGATCCTTCTAGGGGATCCTGTCTGTTCCCTTGGGTCTGGCAATCCAATACTCTGAGCATCCTCCCCACCCCAGCCCAACCCCACAGGCCTAGGGGTGCAGGCATACTGAGTACTTGGCTTCAAGGTGCTGTAGGTCTGGGATCTGTATCAGACCCCAATGAGAAATGCCGCCTGCTGTGGGAACATCATTATGGCCAATATACCAGGCAGTCAGGGGCTCTGACTGTCTACAGTTCCTGCCCTTGCTGAGGCAGGCTTGAGATATATCCCTGTCTTTCTCAGTAAGAGAGGAGAGGAAGAGGATAAGGAGGGACATAAAGAGGACTGTTTATGGGAAGGGAACTGGGAACTGGATGAACAAACTGGGCTCTATGTGAGCCTCCCTCCAGGCCCCAAAGTCAGGCAGAGTGGGAGAGGCCTGGGATTCTTCCTGGGCTGGGAGCGCAGGATGGGCTGTAGCCCTCTCACCCAGCGAGTGGATCTCAGCACCACGGAGAGCTCCCACAACCTCACCATGGACCTCAGCACCACGGAGAGCTCCCACAACCTCACCATGGGTCTCAGCACCACGGAGAGCTCCCACAACCTCACCATGGATCTCAGCACCACGGAGAGCTCCCACAACCTCACCAGCGTCCAGCTGCCCCAACGCCTGAGAGTCAGTGCCTGGGGTTCCTCTCGGTGAGTCTCATGGGTCTATTGTCTCCCTAGTGAGTAGTGTCCCGTCTTATTTGTGTCACTTGCACACTGGCCTGGACACGCCAGGAGCTTAGGACCGGCATGTTTGTTGACCGACTGAATAGTGGTCTCCCTGCGACCTCCGCCACATCCCAGGCTGCTCTCCAGGCCTGATGACCATCTTCCCACATGCTCCTTCTTCCCAAAGTTTTAACCAAGCTATCCTTTCTTCTTAACTCTTAACCAAGCTATTCTTTCTTCTCCCTGAAGAATCAATATTTTCTCTGTCTTTTGACACTTATTTTATTTTATTTTTACATGCGGCCTCCCAAAGGCTGTAATTTATGGCTAATACCATGCAATCAGAGACAATGGCTGGGTGCCTGTGAGTGGGAGCAGGCAGGCTCCCTGCCAGGTGCCCCCCAGCTCCCTCTCCACCACCCATTCACAAGGGTGTCCATGGTGGTGAGGCCTCTGCGCGCAAGGTCACGGGGAGCCTGGGAGAGACATGAGCCATGACCTCAGCCATTATCTATAGGGCACGAGGGATGGGCCACCAGCTGCAACAGCACAGGGGTGTGGGGGCTTCTGTGGGGGGCTGATCTGAGTAGAGGAGCAGGTAGGGTGCTAAAGGGCTTTCTGCTAGGCCAGCCTCAACTGCAGAGAGCCCCCCAAACTGAGGTGCTGGGGCGATGCCTCTCTCTGCCAGCCTATATCTCCTCCCTCCCACCCCTCCTCTGCCTGCCGAGCTGTGCCCGCGTGGCTCCCGCACTGTAATCTACGGCGCTGTTACTGTGTCAGTGATTTAAATCCTCTGATGGAGCTGGTGACAGCTTAAATGGCTGCCATCCCCTCTCTGTACCCCCCCAGGCCCCGATGAGGCCTCATAGGAAGGAGGGTTTGCTGAGGTGGGATTCAGACAGCATTTGCCAAGCTCGAGTGTGGCCAGGCTGCTGTTCCTCACCCTCTGGAGGGGAGGGAGCAAAATGTGCCCTCTCCTTCCCCTCACCAGTGATCAAGGAGAGAAGACAAATCCCTCCATAAATTCCAGGGAAATGGAATGTCTGGAATACGCTCAATTCCACCTGCTGGCAGGTGAGAGGCACAGGGAGGGGGAATGTGCCCAGTACCCAGTGCCAAGCAGTCCTTTTCTGTGGCCTTGTCGCCTGTGACTGGACTGGAATCTAACCCTGTGTGGTAGGCCCAGCCCCCACTCCATCAGTTGCTCCCAATTATGCTGAGTTTAAACTCTGACCCTGTCCCCGGGTCCTCCTTCCCATCCTGGAATCTCCCCTCCATTCAGATATTTGATTCCCAGTTCCATCTCTGTTCAGCTGCTGTTGGGTGGGGGACATTATACATTTGGGGAAAACTGAGGCGCATAGAGGCAGAGCTGGCAAAGACCACCCAGCAGTCAGTAGCAAGGAGCTGTCTCTCTCCTTGGCAGCAGATCTAGAGCCAGGCACTGGGACAGGGTAGGGGACAGAGCTGAGAGATCCTGCTGCTGGATGGGGTTTTTCTACACTGATCAAAAGAGCCTATAAGGCCCAGCATTTCTGGTCCTCTGGCTCTGGGGTCCCAGGCCCTTCAAATACAGCCTCAGAAGGGGGACAGGAAGAGCAGGCAGGAGGCCCACCCAGTTCAGGCTGGGTCAGGGTGAGAGGGGATGAGGTCTCAGCTCTGCTGTGGAATTCAGGGACAGGACTTGGCCTTCTGGAGCTCATGCCTAATGGGAGCAGGTGAGGACCTCTCCGGGCACTACGTGGTGAGAGGAAGCAGTCCAGGGACCATGGAAACACCCGCCCCATTCAGAGCTGAGGTGTTCCCCGGAAGTGGGGAGGTATTCCAGACAGAGGGAATAACAAGTGTGAAGTAGCCCCTGAGGGAGGAGCCAGGATTTTGGATTTTGCCTTGATGGCAGAGGGGCAGAGCGGCTGTGAAGTAGCCCCTGAGGGAGGAGCCAGGATTTTGCCTTGATGGCAGAGGGGCAGAGCGGTGACAGTTCCAGACCAGGAAGGACAGACACGGATCTTGTAACCTCCCTAGCCCTCTGTGAGGAGACACGCAGCAGCATCCCCTTCCTCCAGGACTGTAAACCGAGATGCAGCAAGGTTAACTGACTTGCCCAAGGTCAACAGTTTGCATGTGGTTGAGCCATGACTGGAGTCCAGGTCCTCTTGCTGCCCCTCAGCTCCCACCCCAGCTGGGACTCAGGCTAAGCTGGGCTGGTAGCTTGCCAACCTCTAAACCCCTGTAAATCCCTCCTGGGAGTAGGAAGTGTCAGAGGAGTAATTAAATGATTGAGTGAGCAGGGTCAGCAACTGGAACAAGGCACCCGGCCACACCAGGTGTCCTTCCAAGTAGCCGCATGTCTCCAGCTGGGGGCTCTGAGGGCATCTGGTGGCACGAGCGTCCTGTCTCCCTGCCAGGCATGGGAGTCAGGTGGACTCCCCTTCTCTCTGTGCAGGACACTAGAAAGTGGGCTCAGGGCTCAGGATGCCCAATTGTTCCCAGAGGGACTCTTTACTGCCACTGTCCTGTCCTATGGAGCTTGCAGTCTGAAGGGGCTGACTCTGGGCGGCCAGAAAGGCATACAGTAGGGTTGCAGGGACTGACTCCCCAGGTTCCCAGTTCGCCTCGAGCAGCCCTCTTGGATAGAGCTGGGCCTAGGAGTGAGACAGACCTGGGGTCTCTTCCAACCTGAATAGCCCCCACCCCATTGCCTACTACCACTCCCAGATCCACAACCCTGACTCAGTGGCTTATCCTAGCTCTCCACATCTCCTACCCCAACCTCCTTAATGACTTTTTAATAAATTGAAAAATTGTTTCAATACCAAATGCGATCCCGGGACATTGTTCGTGACTGTATTGAGCTTAAGTCAAACGTTTTGCATTAAATCCTACTGATTAATAATTACAAGGAGCAAGTCTGTCTTTACTGTAATGTGTTTAGGAAAACTGATGGATTTAATTTTTTTATCGGCCAAAGTAAGAAAATGTAATCTTTCTGAAAGTATCTAATACAACAATGCACCATAATTAGTTTCTCTGGAAACGGGCATAATGGAATAGAATAATAAATCACTTCTCCTTTCGTCCCTTCCCTCTGATGGAGGGAGATTTCCCCTCTGTGGGGCCAGGAATAGGACAGGGAACAGAACTGGGGGACTGAGGTGGCCATGGCTGTGCAGCCCTGGCTCCTCTCTGCTGAGTCAGTGGCCCTTGGCCCTGCCTCACCCTCTGAGGGGCTTGGGGCTTGGGGCACAGGTCCTCCACTCCCAGGCCAGAAACTGGGAGTCTCTCAGGAGCTGGGACCCAGCTTCCAGAGTGATGGTGGTGGCTCTGACCCACTCCTACCTCCTTTAGACAGAGCTCAGTCCCCCTGCTTTGCAGTTCTGGGTCGGCCCCCACTCCTGGCCATTCCTGCCTAGCAGCCTCCACACTCCTCATGCTCTGCACCCCCAGTCTGGGCCAATTCCCCAGGTGTGGGCTGTCCTCATCAGACGCTCCCCTGGACCCCAAGTGCTTCCCTCAGCTACTGTCCCTGCCTCAGGCTCGCAATCAGTAATGACAAGATAATTGTTTGTTTTATTGATCATGATCAGCGTTCTGTAGCCCAGTGATGGATGATGTGGGAATAGTCACATTTGCCCTGGCACAGGCACCCCAGCACCAGGAGGATCAGATGTGGCCTCGCCTGGATGCAGACCCTCCCCATCCTGCCACCTCGCTGCCCCCCTCTGGCCCTGGCTCATGATGGCTAAGCAAAACGAGCGCTAAATTAGGAATCCAGAGCCCTGGGTCTGAGTCCCAGAATTCCAGATCCCCATGCAGCCCCTGCCCCTAGTCTTTAGTTTCAGATTTCCCCTGGGAGGCCAGGCTGTAGGCCATGCTGGAGGATCTGTGTATAACCGGGGTGCCCAGATGGTGCCCCATAAATGCCTGTGAAGGCCATGAGGCTCGCAGCCCAGAACCTGCCAGCCCACTGGTCACCCAGAGCCACTGGAGGCTTCTCTGGCCACCTCACTCATCATTCTCCTTGGTTTTGGACTCTTCACTGAGGCTTCCACCCTCAGGTGGCACAGCCTCTCCCTTTCTGAATCCTCACAAGACTCTACTGGCTGGTCTCTGCTTCAGCTGCTCCCATTCCAACCCCCCTACCCCCCCACACACACCTGTGGCCGGAGTCACTGCCTGAAGCCCAGTTCAGACCCTCCCTCCCTTTCCACAAGGCTGCACAGAGACAAGACAGGCTCCCGGGTCCTCCTGGCTCACCCCGCCTCATCCTGGAAGCATCCTTTCCTGAAGCAGGAGGCCCAGCCTGTGATCCCAGGGGGACCAAGGGAGACCCCCTCTCAACCCTTGAAGTCCTACTGAGCAGGGGGCTGGAGAATGTTGTACGTGGGTCTGGGAGATGGAGGCAGGGAGAGAAGGAAGGGGAAATCCCATCGCCACTGTTGGCAGTGGCCAAATTCCCCTGTTCTCCCTGCTTCCAAGTAGAAGAGGGAATTGCCCGGCTTCCTACCCCCTGGTGGCCAAGTGGGGCTGCATATCTGCCTCTGGCCAGTGAGTGGCCAGAAGAAGGAACACTTCCAGGCCAGAGCACCTCATTGGTGGTGTGAGACCTTTCAGGGCCCTCACTTGCTCTGCCAGGATAGTTTTTCAGATTTGGGTTGTTTGGTCAGCCTGGACTCAGTGTGAAGATGACATGAAACAGAGCCTTGGCTGACCTCTGAAGGACACGTAGCAGCGAAAAGAAATAAACCTTCATTATTTGAAGCCACTAAGATTTTAGAGTTGTTATTGCAGCCTAACTGAGCCCATGCTGACTGGTGGGGGAGGAAGGATCTGCCCTGTGACAGGTGGCACCGGGGGGAGGGGTGGCAGTGATGGTCAGCTGTATGCTGGGAGGCCAGGTTTTCACCCTGGTTTAGCTACCGTGGCCCTTTCCCTCTCTACGCCTCAGTCTCCCCACCAGCAGCGAGCCACCTGTGTATCTT